ATGCTCTTCATATTTAGCGGGTATACCGTGGTGTATAATCGTCTAGTGAGTATCTGGAATATAGCCACTGGTATAGAATATGGCGTCCAGTAATTTGCGTTAATCTAATTTAGCTGAAACTCATGCAGAACCCGGTAACTTGTACTTGTACGCGTACATCGTACCAATAGTAGTGGTGGTAGTAGTAGTAGTAACAGCAGCGACGGATTTAAGTTGCTCGTGAAACCCAACAAGAGTTCATGTACACTTAAGCCATAATATGTCACACTTATTGTAGGTGAATTTCGATTCCCCAGACACATACAGTCGAGTTTGATACTATTATATGTATTATACCCAGTGTGCCCTCCAATGGAATGTGTTCATTCTTGCGGCATTAATTTCAAGAACGGCTATCTTAAAGCTTTATATATAGGACCTATCCTAGGACATTACGGTGTATAAAAAAAGTAAGACCTGAGCTGAGCAAGAGGAAGATAGTATTAAAAAAAAGAAACAGAAATAAAGCACGTGGAAGGAGTTCCAGTGCAGTATAAAGAGATAGTTCCTCTACATTCGGATCTATTTCGTCTGTACTATAAATCTCAGTGTGTAATCCCGTCCTGCGATCTTGCTCGGAGGAATCGCGTAACGCGCGAGCCGGCAAACGCGAGCATAGCAATCCATTTACCAGGGAAATGCAATGTAATTGCAAATCGTAATGGGGGTTGTAGGTGCGGGTTTCGGCACTGCACCATTAACGCTGTATCACCATTCCGTATAATATGTGTTTGTGTGTATGTGTGTACGTGTGTTTCTTGATAGCAATTCGTAGGTCTTTTTCTAACACTCAATTTTATGCTCTTTATCTATTTTATTTTCTCTCTCCGGGCTGTCTCTCTTAGATACTACTTTCCACCCCCGTTTTCTCTTAGCTCTTTTGTTCTCGAGAAATATCTTACGGTCTATAGTTTTTTCGCGACCTCTTGGACGTCGTTTAGATAGATAGGGACATATTTTAAAAAGAAAAAAAAAAAGCGGTTAAATGTGAACACTGGTTTAACGGTGCGGCAATAATAACACGATTAAAATTGCGGGCGATGGTACATTCAATGTTCTCTCGTGTGCAAAATCCCAAATTGATTTAATGGCAATCGAACAATTTATTATTATTCATATGTATCGTCCCATCAAGTGATACATTCTATGTATTTATACTGATGTTGTATGTTAAATTCGAAAAATCGGTACATCAACAGAATATCAATGTAAATTATCTGCTCGTAATGTAATTTGATAACGACCAGAATCATATTTGATATCAATTGGTTGTGATTATTTTAATGAAATTTCTACACTCAATCATACTAAAATTTATCAATGTTGAGCTCAATTTTTTTTGTATTCAATTAAAATCAATATAAAAAATGTTTAAAAGTTCCATACTAAAATAATCTCACAATAATCATATAAATAAGATTTATCTTAATTTTGTAGGAGTCACATACAATATTCGAAAAATTTCTCAGCATCATTAATAATAACAAATCAATGTTTACTACCCGGGTCAAAAAATTTAGTCTGTTTTATGATTAATAAAATTTTTTAATATTTTTCATTCAATTTAATTTTATTATGTGTATCTATTTTATATGAGAATTTAATCTGTTTTTGCCCGTATTATTCACAATTCAGACCAATTTCAGATCATTTTTAATGTTATAATAAAATTGTTTTCTATTGTTTCAAGACCAAAATCAGACTTTTTTCGTCACAATCATTTAGCTGGTTTTGACCGCATCAAGGTCAAAAACAGACCAAAACGTTATATAATTTTTAGTCGGTTTTTCATCGCCTGTAGATAAAAAACCGACCTTTTACGAATTTAATAATAATAATAATAATAATAATAATAATAATAATAATAATAATAATATATTTATTTATTTATTATTATTTTATTCATGTCCTCGAAGATTCTCTACAGGGCACGGCTTTTCATTCTCTGAAACTGAAATAGTGACCATTCACTATTTCGTAGTGCAATGTATACCAAACGGTACTCTTCGCACTACCAAATAGTGGATACCGCTCATTGAATGATGCGTGAAAGTATAAAATTTAACATTAATCTTGTCAACATTTTAATTTTGTCTCGATGTATTCACATTGTGTTTAATAATGATAATTAGAAAACTCTAGATTTAGATCCATAATTAAACGATGAGAACTATTTTATAAACGTATATTAATACAAATTTATTAGTTATCACTGCAACTAATATTCACAGTTACAAAACTTTCATAATCCATGAAATGTTGAGCTATGACAAATAAATATGACAGATGTAAGGTTATAATCGACGTTCAGTTTATAAAACAAGAGAGCGCATGAATATATTATAAATTAATTTATTTTTTTAAATAAATGCGACTTATAATTTTTAATGAGATACTTTTAAGTCCAAAAAATTATAAGTCACCATCTTAGTCGATTTTTGGCCTTCGAACATTTAGAGTGAAAATTGTAGATCAAAAATAGTATAAGATTTCATATTGAATTTGAAAACAATATATAAAGTCCATCTACAAATTAACTCGACTAAAAACCGATCAAACTTTTAAAACTTTTTAGTTTCATTAGATTAGAAACAGCATAAAATATTCATAGTTGCTCAATTATTTTACTAAAAGGTTATTTAGACTTAAAACAGATCAAAAATAATTTTAATAGTAGATGAAATACCGATAAAAATGTTTTTTAAAGTTCAAATACAGATCAATAAGTTCAAATGCAGATCATTTAGCTTAAAATCAGTTTAAATTTTTCGACTCGGGTACATATATTTATGTTAGGGTGATTTTATTATTGGGGATGATTCAGAAATTCTGAGTCAGCCTCTTTGATGACAAGGGTCATCAAAGCTAACTGTAACAAAATCACTCCATTGAAAACATTCACAATCAAAGCCAAATTCATAAGTTCTCGTTTTAAGTCTCAAATTACCCCAATAGGTTCAAATTAACCTGAAAGCTAATACGAATGATCATTATCTCTGAACTACAATAAACAATTCATTGAGTTTGTTTTGTTAGTCGTTGTTTCGATTACCGTCAACATAAATGACTTTTGGCTTTCCGGTTTTGTTATTGGCAGCTATTGATCGGGCGTGCGACCTAGACCTTTCTCTAATGCAATACTTAACCGTCTTACAAGCAGTAAGCCAGTGCAATTCCAATTGCAATTAGGATTTCTATCCACCAGGTAATTATAGTTGATACAATGCACACTAGCAGTGGCATCTGATTAAACATATAGACTGTTCAAATCCCTAGAACTTGAAGAGGGTTAATGTATTTACTTTAGGTTCAGTTTGTGAGCTTCTGTACTCCTCCATGAACCACGTATCTACTCGACCTCTCTTGATGCCTACGTATTACCTCTGAGGATTATGGATCAAAGGCTCATTACACTCCCCAGTCGAAACCAATACTACATGTATTATGTCCTTTGACGTCCAAGTTACTTACTATTAAATATTTGTTTTTGTTTTTTAAATTACCGACTTATTTTTATTCGCCCACATATTATTCGTAATATTTAAATCAGCAGCGCATGAAATTTTAGCATATTTTTTTTTGACATTTAAAAATCAAACTTGAACAAAAAAAAAAATTTTTTTTAATTTATTTTCAATTTTTATTATTTGAACGAGTAAGATTTTTCACAGATTTTTTTTTTGTAATAATTTACTTATTGAAAAAAATTTCAAAAATTATCAGATATTTGTTAATTTTGATATCACCTTCGTATTACTCACAAATCAACATCCCATATGTTATGTTAAAAATTTGTATTAATCTTAAATTTATTTTTATTGTTACAGGTGAGTTATAACTTTTAAATCAACTTACGGATGGAAAGGTGTTATCGGTAACTCAGTGGTACGGAGTAGCTGAACCAAAGTGATTTTATCCCCTCTAAAATATATATCAAAAAACGTCAAGGTAGGTATGTATGTGACAGTCAGTACGAGTATTTTAAAACTTAATTCTCGTATTTTTATTATTTATATACAGATATAGAAATATATTACACAAAAATGGGAAATAAAAATAAAATGAATCAAGGGCAATTGTCGGGATACAGCTGGTCCCTCGATTATTAGCAGCTCATTCGAGTGCCACTCGCGTATACTGACCAATCGAGTTTCACATTTTATGTCTCTCGAAAGCTACTGCGAGGTGTATAAAGTCTTGGGGAAAGAAAACATTCTCTGGGGATGGATTAACTCTCTTAGTTGTGTTGGAAAAATACTCACCAAGTTTTAGCTTGAGTGAGCGAGTGACCAGCCGGGTCCATAAAGGCCAAGCAGTAAAGATATAAAATGAAAAAAGGGTGTGGGTGTTTGTCGATTCTTCGATTCAAGCCAGATTTAACGATTTCGCAACCCTTTGCAAAGGGGCCAAAGTTTCATAGTCCTGGATCTAGAAGACGCCTTTCTGATTGGGGGGTAGAATAACACAAGAACGTGAGTTGCCTCCGCTGAAGAGTATCTCTTCGCTGAAACAGAAGCCGAATAAGGAAGAGAAAGAGAGAAGAGAAATAGTATTGAGTTGATGATAGTGCATGAGTATAGAGATAGATGTAGAGACATTGAGGAACGTCTCTCTAGTTGAGTGAGGGTCAGGTTGGAAAAGCAATAAGGAATTATTGCGGTAGCTTCGACAAACGGTGACTACGTGGTTATACTACAGATATACAATATACATATATGTACCAAGTGAAGAGAATGACTGAAAGAGAGATGATGAAAATTATCATTCCGGTTGTCTTACTGCTCGGTGAATTCCCCGTCTATTAAAGTCTCTTCAATATGTATATTATATTATATTGAATTATATTTTAGAGAGAATTGTGTTGTGTTGTACTGTATAAATTTTGGTCTTTGATGTAGAGATTGTATGACTTTTTAAATGTTTTTTATTCGTTTATTTATTTATTTTTCTATTTATCCATACTAAAGGGTTTCATTTTCTGGGAATAGCAGTAACGGCAATCGAATGCTTTTTCTATTTACATTACTCTCGGTTGAGTTGAAAGATATTAAGAGAGCAGCATCTTGCCTGAAGGAAATAATCGTCGAATGAAACAAGTAATCGCGTCTTTTAAAGTCTGATAGAAATTTGAATAGTGCGCTGTGCACGCGCCTTAATTTTAACCAAGAATGAATAATTTCCCGTTTTTTTTTTCAAGTTTCGACTATTGACTAACTTCAAACTCGAATGTACTTTCATTTTAGAGATCGTTAAATTTATTTTTACACTTACTAGCATACCGGCAAAGAATGAAATTGATTCATGGTATCTGTTCAATATAAAGTATTATTCCTAGTTAACCTTTGTTGCGGTTAATTAACGGTGAATTGAAATATATAATAAAGAGCCATTCCACAAATTGTACTTGATCGTAGAACGGGATTATATTATATTATGAATTATGAATGATCAATTATGATGTATAATAACAGTGGTATATAATAGAATAATGTAAAAGTATTTTAGTAATTTCTGCAACAAAGCCACCATAAATCCTACTTCTTCTCTCTGGTCCCATTCATACTAGCTATAGCTAGAGTACTTATTCGCGATTAGGAAGTTTCTCAGTGGGAAGTAGACCCGGACAATTTGTCGCCCAAAACTTCAATTTCCCGAAAATCCGGTGTTGTGATTTATTGTCGCAACTGAGTCTCTGAAGTTTTAAGAAGGTAAAGAGAAGGAAACAGAAAATACCCAAAAGTGTGCAACTAAAAAGAACAGAGTAGAGAAAGGTTGATACATGGAATTACTCTACCAAAAAGAAAAAAGAAAAAAAACCCAAAAAATAAGACAAGATAAAGAAGAAAAGAAAGTCAAGAGTTTGTAACGATAGTAGTAGTAGTGATAGTAGTTCGCCTTGTCGTTGTCTGCGTTTTCTCAACTCTCAGCAATTCCGTCACGTACGCGTCATAAGTCGTCAGCGGCATCTTTAAGTAAGAAGTAACACCTCGCGAGCACTTGAGGCACACTCAACTTCGTAAGTATCCGAGAGCTCCACCGCAAAATGTGCCAGGGCATGAAAGATTGTCAACTACTTTCTTCACACCACCGGCAACACACTTACCCTTCCTTCCTCCTTTCCACCAGGTTGAAGTTAACTCGACAAAGTGGCTGCCAGGAATGTTGTCGTCGACGAAAGACATTGGCACCCGGTTAGGTAGTTTTGTAAGTAATGTCACTTGGATCGCCGCTGGGCATCGTGCTATTATACAGTTTCACTTTGTTATGTTCTGTACTGCTCTTCTTCATACTCGTCATACTTTGAGTCTAAGTGTGTGGGTGTGTATAGTACAGACAGAGGTGTGTAGTGGTCAGGCGTGGTCGGCATACCAAATCCTGAGGGGTATTCCGGTCATGTAGCCTCTCGGGTCTGCCGCTTTGTACGAGCTCCTCGTTTCACCAGGGCGAGGTGTACGAACTAGGGTATTAATTGGCTTACGAGGTGACACTCATTAGCACTTTGAGTAAGAGGGAACTGCTCTCAACTCCCTGGATAGACCGACGAGAGATTTAGTGTTGGAAATACTCCTCGCACAGAGTAATATGTACAAAGAGTATTATCTTCTTTTCTTTTATTATCGTTATAAATATTTATACACACATTCATTCATACATTCGCTTTATATTTTCGTTAAAGAGTGCTGGTTTGGGCTAAAGTTTTCATTATTGCTGACAAGGCATTGTTTATAGAGTTTTGGAATAGAACTGCTAGGTAATAGAGATGAGCGATCAAATACAACAAGAGACCGATCGTGCATGTCGTATCAAATACACATTCATTCAAGATGACAAGATGATATCCCAAACAATCACTTTATCTTGAAAACCCCCCACCAGTAGATTAAACTTTTCGATTCGTCGTTACAGAATTATAATATTAACCTGGATGACTATTATTGATATCTAAAAATATTAATTTTCAAAAAGGAATTTTGCATCATGGCGACTATTTAAGAAAAGATTTGAACAAGATATCATGTCAACTTTGTCAGCTCACTAAAATAGTTATAATTTTGTAAATAATGAAAAGTCTTTAAGAAAATATTCTTGGCTGTGTAATTTGAGAAATAATTTCGATTTTCATTAATTTCTAGACTGATACCCCCTCAACTTAAATAGAGCTACGTGAAACACCCCCGAGTTATTGAGAGTCATACATCTCAATCTGTCATTGGAAAGACAGAGGATTAAGCGATGAATAGCTGAGTCGAAAACCAATTGTGTGTCCCCTAAAATGAAATATATGATTTCTCCCTCCATCAGCTTCAGCTCGTGTTGTCAGCTCGCTTGTCGGTTAACATCCAGTTGATGGCCTGAGGCTTCTCTGCACTGAACTGGGCAACTGCTATAACTCCTGACAGCATCACTACTACCACGACTACAACCACCAGCTTGGTAGTACAGTTTTAGTGTTGGAGATTGCTTGCAAACAAACTGTCTGTTTTGTAAGCGACGTGCGTCGCATACCGACAAATTGTACTATGCCATTGCTTGTACAGTCTTCTAAAGTTGGTTTTGCCTGGAGCATTGCTTGCTGGCAAATCGCTCCAACTGGAGCCGGAAGAGAGTACTGGTGAATGAATCGCTATGTTAGGGAGTTATATTCCTATCCTACGGGAGGCGTCGTAATAGCCAAGGAGAGAACTGAGGAAAGGGGAAAGTCAGTCAACCAGGTATCCAGACATTCACATAGTTATAGTCATAGCCGTGGTTTATCCCGATATTCCGAACTCTCGGTAGATCCAATTTGATGAAGAGACCGCAGTGGATTGCACCGACGACCTTATAAACCACCGGGTATATTCAGCCTTCGATGATAGGACAATAGATAGAGAGTCCTGGTTGGCAGGCAGGCAGAGAACCAAGAGAGGGCCGGTTATGCGATCCCAACGGGTTGTGTGCACATTTACCCAGGCACGCACTGGTATCGGGCATGAGTAGCAGCGAGGAGAGGAGTGTATGACCTCACCGGAGGCTGATTTCATCTACATCCTCTTGCTCTTGCTCCTGCTGTAGACAATGTTGCTCGATAAGGCATTGTTAAAGCTTACAGCCCGCCCTACAATGTTGTACCCAAGCCTCCCGGCAATATTACTGCCACCAACGCATTACCAACACATGTCTGTCGTTCACCTTCCTGTTGCTGTAGCAGCTCCTGCTCCTGCTAGAACTACTCCAACTCCAACTGGTTCCCATCTACCGACGAGTTTACTCTCTCGTCCTCACATGTCTCACCCTCGCGAGTACACGAGAACATGTCACCGCAGGTATTCTCACAACTCTCTACCCCCTTACCTTCTCCCGGCATGTGTACACCACACAAACATATTATCTCCCTTGTTTTCTTCCTTGTCCAGCTCCACACACGCTTCTCTCGAGGCATCTCCTATCATTTGCTCTATTTGTCTAAATTACATTTATTATCTTGGTGAACAATAGCTAATGACATCACTACTTATGCTTTACGATTTACCGGGACTGCTACTGCTACTCCTTCTGTTATCATTATGTACATAATATATGTTACGGCGTATCAAAGGCTGAAGATAATGCAGCAGCAGCAGCAGCATGAGCGAGACAAAGAGAAGGTTAACTCCTTCTCGTACTCACCCGGCGTCCCATTAACTAAAATAGCTTGAGGAGAAAGGTGGAGGTAGTTATATGTAAATTTCTCAGGTTTCATTAGTAACCAGGTGACAGTGTTCACTTCAGTTCATAATATAAATTTTCAATTTAAATTTAGATCAATGATAGATAAATTTGTTGGTAGATCTTGTTTCACGATATTATTATACGTTGATCCGATAGTTAATCAGAATCAACCCATGAGAGAGCTATCTTCTGCAATGAGTCTTAAACGTGATAACTGGACCGTAAGTAATATATATGTATATATTTTGATACTAGTGGTACGACAAATATTACTACGAGCTATTAGTCAAGCGTGAGTTTATTGCAAGCTTCAACATCTCGAAGCTTGGATAAGCTTCCATAGCTTTCTCGTACTCTGGTTTCTCTTGAGATAAATTCTCGACAAAGTAGTGTGAATACTGCTGCCGGTGGTGGAGAAGGTACTACCACTACTACTACATGACTATCCTCACCACCGTTACACTGTATCTGACGTCCGTTGCCAATTTCTATTTTCTCTTGGTGAGAATATTCTCCAAGTCACTTTGCTATTCGCTGTTAAAGTCTAAAAGTGGTTCTCGATCGGGGTATGCTTCTGACGGGTTGTTGTACCTGACAATTCCATAGACTCCAATTTCTCTCAATACAACCAAAAAGATAAACACCCAAGTAAACATATACCTACTATCATCATTATTCATTTTCTCATTAAACTTTGTAACAGTATTACTGAACAGAGTAACGTCGTTATTATACTCGTTAGTAAGCGATTACTATCTCTAAAACTAAAGAACAAGAAAACAAAATACTAAATCTCAAGCAGCCATTAAAGAAACGTTGAAAGCTCAAAACGGGGCGGAGATATTTCAAAGACAGAATGAAAAGCGAGTTAAATTTGCAGGATGTTTGCTCTCGTGTCCCCTGGAGTGCAAGCTTCATCAGTCTAATTGCGGATAATTTCAACTCATATATACTCCAAGAGAGTTTACAACTATATGAAAAGCGTAATCATGTGGTGAATAAACACCAGTGAGGTATGTGAAAGTGACAAAGAGCAGCTATTTACAGTACCAGTAGCAACAACAACAACAACAACAACAACAACTACTACTACTGCTGCTGCTGCGAGCACCGACGTTATGAGAGCACCAAGTGATATTTATCTGCGTATAACCCAGTGGTATCTACAGCAACCACCAGCGACCTTATCTCCGTGTCAGGAGAAATAAGTGCTGTCAGATTGTCGGGTTTGTTGTGTTGGCTCGCCACTCACTCGGCTCGTTGGGCGGATAGCTTGTGTGCCAGGTATACTGTTCTAGTAACTTACGACATCTGACGCATCTTCTCTTATAAACTTTGCTCCCATTTAGCATCTATTTATCCGTCTTTTTTCATTCCCATCAACTTTCTATATCTCTCTCTCTCTCTTTCGCTCTCATTCTGTTCGTTTACCAAGATAATGTTGTATTCGTCTGGGAGTACAAGTGCCATTTCCTTCAATCTCGTCGTAAAATCCCTCAGGGAAGAATAAACCAAAAGCAAAATAAAATAAAAGAACATCAGGCGCA